TGATTTGCACAGGAGAAAACCTCTTGCCTGAAGTGATTTTGCTCTATCTAATAATATCTGTGCTGCCGCTGCACAGAGTAGCTTTTCCCCTCACAGTAACAACTCTGGGCAGGAAAAGATTTATCAGTCAAGATGTGTTACCTGATCTTTCTACTTTAACTCATTTCTTCTCTTCCTCAAGTTTCAGGGACTTGCTGCTCCTGGAGCTTCATCAGAAGCTTTGGGTGGGTGGGATACCCAGACTGAGTTAGTCCTGGAAATGCACATCCACACCCAGGTCAGACAGTCAGGGATGTTTCCTACACTCCAAACACCACAGCCCCAAGCACCAGGAGCCTGCAGATGCTCTGCATTGCAATCCACAGCCTCAGTTGGTCCTACAAGGGAAAGCAAAGTGGTTTTGCCTCCTCTGAGAGAGGAAAACACACAACAGCAAGTGCTGGCCCAGCTGACCCAGCCCTTGTGGACAGCTGTACCACTGAACAGGAGAATCCATCCTGGCTCACTGTTATGGTAAAACACTGCAAATCCAGGAGGTCTGGGGCTTAAAAGCTCAATTTAGGTCAGCAAAAAGCTCTCTGGCTGGGACAATTCACTGAATTCACTGGGAGGTCCTCAAATCTGTTTCCTAGGGCATAAAAAGTCCAAAGGAAAAGCTGCTGAGCACACAAGACTTCAAGATGCTGCAATCAGAGGTTCCCTGAACTGCAGGGAAATGTCCTGAGTGTGGCTTTGGACTGCTGCCCCTGCACACTGTGCTCTCCAGACCAGTCACCCTTCCTGGGAAGGCCAGGGAGAAGGGAAGGTGTGTTGGAGGCTCCCAGGGAACCCCCGGCCCCACTGCCAGTGCCTGCAGCCCTCACCCCGGTTCCTGTCCCTCAGGGGATGGCTCTTCATGCAGGCCTTGGGGGTAGCCTTGGCAGGCTGGGGCACCACGTGGACCCTATGGTCTCAAAGGGCTTTTCCAGCCTCAGGGATCCCATGGGACACTTAGTGACTGACCCACCTGCACAGATAGGCACGGAAGCTGTTACCCATGGATCATATTCCATGAGCCAGAGCACTTCAGGGCATCACTGAGAGACTGCAGAGAGCAGGAAAACCACACTTACACCACTTACCCTGCTCAGGAGTTTCCCAGAGGGGCATGAACAGCATTTCATTGTGATCTTGAGGGAAAACAACTCTTAAGATGGCCCTGAAGATGCCACTTTTCTGTCACTCCTGCCCCAGAACCACAGCCCAGTAGGTTTCTGTGGGAACCTGAATTATTTCTGTAGTTCAGAAGCTGCACATCCCTAAAGCATTCCCTTGGGAACATGAAGCTTCCCATAGGCATTTTGTACTTCAGTTTGGACTTTCAGCACATTCAAAGACAGTTTACATCAGAATGAGGGGACTTGATGACAGCACAGCATTACAGCAGGGACATCAGGACACTCACCACACAATACTCACTGTGGACTCTCCAATCCCAGCACTCCTTCTGTACCATCCTCAGCTCTCACAGAGACTCAGTTCCATTTCCAGGACTACCATCAGGAAATGGATCTCTGTTCCCAGAAGCAAATCCCCAAGGCCATTTTTACTCCCTGCAAACACAAGAATGACCAGGGACAGCTGGTGGAAGAGGACAAAAAGAGGACTGTGATGATCAGACACTTTTAACTAGAAGAGCTCCAATTCCTACTGCCATCCCTAAGCAGCTCTGCCTTGACACTGCCCCTCTGCTCCCAAACACCTCTGTGGGATTTTGGCCCCTAATTCACACAATTCCATGGTAATTTGCATAATAACTCAATAATAATCATTAATGGGTGCCCCAGGTGGGAGTCAGTGGGGTTCCTGTGCGCCAGCAGTGCCAGGAGATGTCTCATCCCTTCCCCAGGGTGCTGCTGCAGGGACATCCCCCCAGGAGGCTGCAGGACACATCTGCACCAGGATAGGAATCTGGGCTCCCAAACCCATCCAATAGCTCCTGGAGCTGCTGCTGCACCTCCCGTTTGGCCAGTGGGGCTGAGAGAGGGAAAACTTACAGAGGGAACTGAGAAAACAACCCCAAATCTCAGTAACTAACTTTGTAGTAAAAAACTGTGCCTGTGTTTACACACATCCAGGAGAAGCACTCCCACTGGAGGAGTCTTGGAATTATTTCCTTTGTCATTCCCTGGACTGGCACAGCTCAAACTGGTGCCATTCAATTCTCTATCTCCCAAATCCAGGTTCTCCTTTGCTGTGGGGTTTTTGCCTGTCCCACAGTCCCGAGGGACCTCTGGCAGCTGCACTGCCCAAGAGATGCCGAGGGACTGCTGGGAAACACCATTGGGAGGGAGGCAGAAATCAACTAATTCAGGGCAGCACCTCAAAATATTGGGGGAAAACACCATAATATTCCATGGCCTCCCTTTGTAAATAAACACCAAACTACATAAATAAAAACAATAAGTGGTACACTACAACTGTTTGGCACTTTCAGTTTAACCACTGCAAGTCAGTTAGTAAATTCCACAGTGTTAACTTTAAAAAAAAACCAAACAACAATTATGATATGAAAATCAGGGAGATCAGAGATTTCCCCTACGGTTTTACTTTCAGGGAAGAAAAAAACAAACCCACCCCCACTGCTGCAATACCTCAGGCTCCCAAAAAGGCCCGGGGGATGTGCTGGTGCTTTCGGCTGCCCTGGAGCACACGGAGGAACACGATGTCACCATCCCCGCGGGCACAGCTGAGAACCGAAAGAGCAGCGACACCATCGGCTCCTGGAAGCCCTACTGTGCTGGGGGCTTGGGGAGGAAAGGCACTGGCTTTTCTCCCTGCCTGAGAGCGAAAAGCCTCATTGCTGGTGACTTCTCCTGCCAAGTGCATCAGCTCTGAAGGGAAGCTCATAAAACGCAACTTCTTGGAACGAGAAAGTTTCCTGTTTTCTGGATAACTTTTCCAACTGAACTCAAAGTTCACACTAGAGGTGCAGGAGAAAGGACAAGACTGAAGCAATGACCCCCACGAGAAACACACTGGCACTACTTCCAAGGCTGCTTTGGCTTCATGGGAAAGCCGGGCAAACGCGTGGAAGCGATGCTGATTTATCCCGTTTTGTCCCAGCCTTTTCCTGGACCTCGACTGCTTTTAACACAGATGCTGCTGTCTCAGTAAGGTTTTGGAGGATTACTGAAAGATATTTTAAGAGCTTACTGACTGAAAAAGCATAGAGCGTTTATCACGGACATCTGAACTCCCACAAACAGCTTCTTTCCCCTTAAAGTATGAAGTTATTTTCACAGTATCATTTAACAGGAAGCGCCCGGGAACTCAAGACTGAGCCCTCTGGAACAGAAAATAAACAGAGGGGGAAGAAGCTTTGCACCGGTGTAACACACCCCGGAACAGATCTGACTTGAGTTTTACTCTCTGTGTTGAGACATTTCACAGAGAAACTCCAGCAAGAGAGCTGGCACATTCCAAACGGTACCTCGAGAGTCCGCACCGAAAGCGGCACAGGAAAGCCGCAGTCCCTGGGGATCCTTTTCCACCCGCCTCCCGCTCTCCAAACAGGACAAAGGGCACCGCCATGTTGTGCTGGCCCCGCGCAAAGGCTGCTGGGAGTTGTAGTTCCCGCCCCGCCGCACAACATGGCGGCCGCGCGGCGCCGCTGGGTCCCTTGGCTCGCCCGCCCGTCCCCTCATCCCTGAGCACTCCGGTCCCTGCTGATGGCAACGCTCCGAGCGCTCCGGGGGAGCCACACTTGTCCCCCCGCTGTCACAAATTTCCATTTCCCCAATGTCGCTGCCTCTTCCACGCTTTTATTGTCAGTGCGGGCGCAGTGATGGGATTTTGTGCTCGGGGGGGGGGGCGCGCTGAGGTGTAGACACCTCTGCTCCCCAAAGTGCAGGTGGGGTGGGGAAGGGGGCTTGCGGCCCTTCCCCACGGTGCCCTGGCAGCGGGGGCTCTGCCTCGTGCCCCCTAAAATTAGGGGGCAAGATCAGCGCTTGGGGTGGGGTCATCCGTGGGGTCGCAGAAGGGGCCGGAGCCGCCGTCCAGGCTGTGCTGCCGTACCACCCCGCGGGGGCGCGACGAGGGCCGTGACCCCCGGGAGGGACCCCCCGGTTCCTCCACGGCCTCGAACACCTGAGGGGGACAGGGAGAGATCATCCCACGCCGCCCCGGGGCCGGACCCTCCGGCCCACCCCGGCCCCCCGCTCACCTCCCCGGCCAGGGGCTCCTCCGGCAGCTCGGGGGGCTCGGGGGTCTCCAGCAGGCTGATGCTCCGCATGACGGCGCAGAGGGAGATGCGGGGGCGCCGGGAGGCCCCCAGCACCGCCCTCCCGGCCGCCTCCTCCTCGGGGGGCTGCGGGGAGGGCAGCGGGGACAGCGGGGACGGGACACCCGTGTCCCTCGGGGAGTCCTCCTCGGGGTGCGGCGCCCGCTCGGCCGCTCGGGGCTCCCACAGGCTGCTGTGCCGGCTGCCACACACCCGTCAGTCAGCACCTGGATACGGCCCCACGGGGAGCCACACCTGTCTCCTCCTACCTGTCGCCTTCCACTGTCCCTGCTCACCTGTCCCCTCCCACTCGTCCCCACCCTGTCCCTGCCCCATCCCTGCTCACCTGGCGCTCAGGATGCCCTGGTAGAAGTCGAGCTGCCGCATGAAGCCCGGGTTGGGCAGGACGCTGGGCCGGCAGTGCCGGACATGCCGCAGCGCCCGCTCCAGGGGCCACCCAAACTCCTTCATGGCGTAGGCCAACACGGTGGCGGCCGAGCGGCTCAGTCCCATGCGGCAGTGCACCAGTGCCCGGCCCCCCGACGCCCTGCACGGGGAGCATCGGGGACACCGTGTCCACAGGGCTCCCCAAATGCCCCAGCAACCCCAGGGATAACAGAGACACCATGTTCCCAGGGATCTCAGTGTCCCCATGTCCCAGACCTCCCAAGCTCCCAGTGTCCTCAGCCATCCTGGTGTCCCCAGGGTTCCCCATGTGCCCTGTGTCCCCACCCCAAAATGGTGTTCCTGGGGATCCCATGCCACAGGGCTTCCCAGTGTTCCCCAGCCACCCTGGGGGCCCCAGTGGTATCGTGTCACCCAGCCACCCCAGGTTCACCATGTTCACAGGGCTCCCACTGTCCCCAGCCCCCTCAGGGTCACCAGGAACACCGAGTCCCCAGCCAACCCAGTGTCCCTGGGGACCCCATGCCCCAGGGCTCTCTGTCCCCAAGCCTCCCCATGTCCCCAACCACCCTGGCGTTCTGAGCCACCCCAGTGTCCCCATGCCCCTGGGGATCCCACATCCCAGTTCTCCACGTGTCCCCAGCCATCCCAGCGTCCCCAGGAACCCCATGCACCCCATGTCCCCAGGGCTCCCCTTGTCCTGCAGGGCTCACTATATCCCCAAGAACCCCATGCTCCAGATCTCCCTAGTGCTCCCAGTGTCCCCAGTGCACCCCAGCACCTCATTCATCAAGACTCCTCCCCTGAGGGCAGGGGACTCCTCCCTCTGCCCCCAGCTCCAGCCGCTGCCCTCCGTGCCCCCCATGTCCCCCCCGGATCCCCCCCCCCGCCC